TGGTGGGATCTTGGCTTACTGCAACCTCCACCTCCCAGGTTCAAGTGATTCTCCTGCCTCAGCCTCCCAATAGCTGGGATTACAGGCATGCCCCATCACACCTGGCTAAATTTTTTGTATTTTTAGTAGAGATGGGGTTTCACTATGTTGGCCAGGCTGGTCTCGAACTCCTGACCTCAGGTCTGCCACCTCGACCTCCCAAAGTGCTGGGATTACAGGCGTGAGCCACCACACCTAGCCTGGCTCTACCCATTAACAGCAGTGTTCTTTTGAAGCTTGGGCCTCGTACATTACTCCTCACAGGCAAACTTTATTCTTCTCAGCATGGTGCTGAGAGTGGGGGTGAAGGGAAGGCCTCAGAGCCAGGTGCAAGGACAGCAGTGCTGCAGGCCTCTCATCCTGAGGGCTGGAATGCACCGGCAGGAAGGTGTTCTCACCATCAGCATCCCGTCTCCTGCTGGCAGCAGGAGGGTAAAAGGGGAATATGGAAACGCAGGCTCAGCAGCAGAGACACCATGGAGAATCCCCATCTGTCCCAGCGACACACATATCACATCAATAGCCTATAGTTGAGGCATAAAATTTTATTTTAAACAGTGTGTTAAAAAATGTCTTGCCCTTTTGCCTTTTAACATTGATTATTCAACCTCTTTGGAAATTAAGAGATTTGATAACACCATTAGGAAGATGGTACAAGGAGCACACAGAAATCACCCAGGCCCCTCCCGCAAAGCCCGGCCCCTCCCCTCCCTTCTCCCTTTTGGGCTGCAGGATCCAAGGCTGCATGGCAGCCAAGTAGTAGCTGGAAGGGTGCGGACAGGAGAGCCGAGGCTCATTACTTTACAGCATGCTCTTCTCAACCGGGGCAATCTTCTTTCCAAGGACCATTTGACGTTTACAGACATTTTTGTCACAACTGGGGGAGGGAGGAGGGGGAGATCAGTGCCCCTGGCATCTAGTAGGTAGGGGAAGGGATGCTGCCAAACATCCTACAAGACACAGGACAGTCCCCACAACAGAGAATTACCCAGCCAGGGACATCAACAGTGCCAAGGCTGAGACAGCCTGTTGCGCAGCTCCATTTCAGGGGTATGGATGTGTCTGCTGGAGTCAAGGGGATTCAGAATCAGAATCCACAACACTGTTATCAGCCCAAGACACCAGAATCGGTTCTGACAGCCAGACTGACCATCACCACACCCTTCTCGCCCTCCCTCTGGGGAGAGCTAAGCACACAGCCTTCCCTCTCTGTTTAGCAAAATGCCAGCGGAGACACTGAGCAGCCCACCCAGCTTCAGTCTTCTTGTTCTTTCATCCACCCCCGGGTTTCAGGTGAGCTTTGAAAGGCTGCCAGAGGCACCATTACCAGACCCAGAAGCTGTCCTTTTTTACTCTGGCACACAGAAAAAATATGAAAATACTTTCACAGTACGCAGGAGTAAACCGAGGAAGCCACTCAGCAGTATCAGCCTTAAGGTTCTGGTCTCATCCAGGGGTGGAGATCAACATTCCCTATTCCCTCTCCAGGGCACCCAGGCTGAGTGAAAGTACCAGAATGCCAGGAAAGAGCTTTAAAAGTCAATCAAGAATTTTTGTTGTTGTCACAGTTGGTAGCAATTCCTTGCAATAACTGCCTGGGAAATTCTGGTCTTTCCCTCCCCATGATTTTTCCCCCTCCTTAGTACCTCTTTAAATCTGTTCAGTTAATTTAAAAATTAACTGACTATAAATTCAATTAATTTAAAAAATAATCGATAATTTAATGAAGACTGCATGTGATTCTTACAGCCTATAGTGACTGACACAGTATTTGATACTGTATCAAATTGTAATACAGACCCTGTAATTTGGCAATGAGCTGCAGTTGTGATACAAACAAATCTCTTTGAGCAGGGCTTAGAGTTCTACTGTACTTTGGTTATAACAGGAACCTTTGTGAAGACCACAGCACAGAATTTTAAAAGCTGATTTTATGTTCTCTTGAGTTTTTCTTCTCGTCTCAACAAAACTCTAGAAAACGGCATAAGCTGAAATAAAAGGATCTTCCTCAGACATCTCTTCCCTTCATTTCCAAACCCAGTTAGGAGTCATGTTTTGATTGGTGCTATGCCATTAAGAGGTCTTCCTGCCTCACTTTCCTCACAGTGGATTGTTGGCTGGGCACAATGGCTCATGGCACTTTGGGAGGCTGAGGTGGGAGGATCACTTGAGTCGAGAAGTTTGGGACCAGTCTGGGCAACAGAGTGAGACCCTTTTGCTCCAGATTTCTTTCCCCATTCTCCAGCTATGAAATATAGGAAACAATATTTCTGTGGACACAGAACCCCTATCAGTGAGGACAATTCTGAATGCTCTGAGGCAGCCAACTTAGGAATTGAAGACAAAGACAAAAGGTTCTATTTGAAAGAAGGGGTCAGGGGGCTCTTTGCTTCTAGTGAACAAAAGCCCTGAGCTTTTACAGCCCTTCGTATTTAAGCAAAGTGAATAGGGAGGAGGAGGTGAACTTGAATTAATACAGGTACTGCTTCCTTTGTCCAACAGATTACAGATATTTAGGTAGATAACCTCAAGGAGCACAGATAGCCTCAAGGAGCACAGGACCTGGGGCGCAACTGCCCTCAACTTTCCGTCTGGCAGCTGACATCCTGGTTTCATGAGGACAGTTTGCTGTTTACTCATATAGCCTCCAGAGGGATACTGAGTTGGTCACGTCCCACATTCTTGGGGTCTCCAGCAATTCACTAAGTGAGGAGTCGCTTGACCTGCCAAAGTCCGTCCAGGGTTAGTTCTGGCTGATGTAGACCAAGTGGTTCAGAAGGTCGATCCTGGAACACTGGTGGAGTGCCTGGGCCAGCTTCCCCACTGTGGCCCCTTTAATGCCTTCCCTCATCAGCCACTTTTGAAGCATCTGGTAAACCTTTTCTTTTAGTCCATCTCGCTCATAGTCATGGTCAATTTCATCAATCTGAGATTGTGTGAGGCCCAGTTTACGGGCACAGTTTTTCCATTGCTTTCCCAGATTTTCCCTGATTGGGTCCAGGTGTTTATCAGTCAGACTAGTGGTATTATCTGCCAAATGGGAAAGAGGAGAAGGTATCAAGTTAAAACCCATTCAAACATTCCAGATTCCTGAATTGCTAAAAAAAAAAAAAAAAAAAAAAAAAACCCAAGCGAAGTGAAGAGTAGCAGGAGACAGTGAAAAAGATAACTTCTTAATCATATAGCTGTTGACGCCTTGGTGAACATTTTACATCCCTGCTAGCCCACATGGAGTCTTTGTGTGACTTAGAGTAGGGCATTCCTGGCCTGGCGTAGTGGGTCACACCTATAATCCCAACACTTTGGGAGGCCAAGGCAGGAAGATCACTTGAACCCAGGATTCCAGACCAGCTTTGGCAACATAACAAGACCCTGTCTCTACAAAAAGAAACAAAAATTAACTACAGGCATGGTAGCACATGCCTTTAGTCTCAGGAGGCTGAGACAGGAGGATCACCTGAGCCCAGGGGTTCAAGGCTGCAGTGAGCCATGATTGTGCCACTATACTCCAGCCTGGGCCACAGAGCAGGATGCTGTCTCAAAAGCAAAACAAAAAAGAATAAGGCATTTCTTCCTCCTAGCAGACAAATCTCTGAGCCCCAGCTGATGGCTCTGTGAACAAAACCCCTGTGTGGCTACAGGCTGGGTGTTCTTTTCAGTCTTAGCCGGTGACCCTGTTTGTATTAGACCTTCCTGGATATAAAGGGAAAAACCACCATTTTTGTTCCTTTTGGACATTTTCCACTTACATCTGGCCAGAGTTAAAGCCACTCAACTCCTGACCATCACCCCTGCCCAAGAGTTCACTTTCCTCTTAATCAAGGAAACTGTCCAGCAGGTGTGAACCCATTCAGTTACAACGTCTTCCTTGTCTTTCACGTGATGAAAGGTCTGTTTTTGGACCCTTCTCCCGATCCCCCACCCCAACACTGCCATAACCTCTCTCCTACTAGTTCTTCTCTTAGCCCTTCATAAAAATAATAAAAGGAAACAAATAAAAATGTAAAACAACCACAACAAACATATTCCCTAATCCCCACTCTACCTCATTAAACAGAATGTAAGGGAGAAAACATCTAATTCTTCCTTTCAACCTCCCTTCTTTCCTCAGCCCTCCATAATGTGGCCTGTGTTGCCACTACTAGATTGTCAGCAGTCCAGAAACTTCCCAAAATATTTGCCAAATTTTGTCAGTATTTCTTTATGGGACAGATCCTAGGTTTCATTACAATGTCAAGGGTGCCCTTGACTAATCAAAAGTTAAGAACCTCTGTTCTATGTATTTTAAAAGCTGTTCTTCAAATGGGTTAGACCAGTGGTTGGCCAACTACAGCCTGTGGGCCAATTGCCAGCATTTGTAAATAAAGTTTTATTGGAACACAGCAATGTTCATTCATGTACATATTGTCTATGGTTGCTTTTGTACTACAGTAACAGAGTTGAGTAGTTCCAAGAGAGACCTCAAAGCCGGCAATGCCTAACATTTATTATTGGTTCCTTTACAGAAAAAAAAAAGGCCAATCCTGTGGTTAATTAGAAAGCTGCGTTCTTAATCAAGTTGTTTTGGCTTCATGACTGCTTTTTCCTGACTGTTTTTTCGACATTAGCATTATGGGCCTGCACAGTAGAACCCTGTAAGAGACAGCTCTCTTGAATTTATTGCAGAAGTGCTGCGGAGGGCACAGTCTCCTCTCTTTTACAGGATCTCCTTTGATGAGGGCCTGACACAGCTATTTCTTCCAGGTCTGAGCAGTAATACTGATGATAATGATGAAAGTTTAATACTTTTTATAGAACTTACTATGTGTCAGGGAGCATTCTAAGCTTTTTATACATATCAACTCATTTAATTTTCACAACAAAGCCATGAATTAAATACTATTATCTCCATATTAAAAATAAATAAATCACAAAGAAATTATACGGAAATCACAAAAATATTTTGCAGAAGTAACATGAAAAAACTTTCAGGAAGAATTATCAGAGAAATTTTAAGCTTCCACTATATCCTTCTCACAAGTAAGAAAGTTCAAGGTTGCTAGACATTGGGTCCTTCAAGGGTATCTTACCAAAGATATCTTGGTACTTAGAAGCCGGCTCTTCTTTAAAGTTCACATTTGTGTTATCTGATAGTGATGAACTCATCCCACCAACCTCCATATAATTGTAGGCTCCAATCTGAATGCCACTACTGTTGAATATGGTACATTTTATAGATTCATCTGAATAGAGAAACACACAGGTAAGTACTTCTAGATCAAAAGCAAGAGAAAAAATAAAGCACTGCAAAAAAGCATGGCTTTACTCCAAACACTGGGTTAATTATCCTATGCCATCCTTTAAACTTTTCTTCTTTAAAATGTGGCTAAACCACCTCGTACCCATTAGGATGTCTACAACAACAACAAAAAAGAATTAACACATATAGACAAAGACGTGGAAAAATGGAGCCCTCGCACATTGCTGGTGGGGATGTGAAATGGTGCAGGTCCTGCTATAAACAGTATCATTGGCCAGGTGCGGTGGCTCATGCCTGTAATCCCAGAACTTTGGGAGGCCAAGGCAGGTGGATCACTTGAGGTTAGGAGTTTGAGACCAGCCTGGACAACATGGTGAAACCCTGTCTCTAAAAAAATATAAAAATTAGCCGGGCATGGTGGCGGGCGCCTGTAATCCCAGCTACTTGGGCGGCTGAGTCAGGAGAATAACTTGAACCCAGGAGGCAGAGGTTGCAATGAGCTGAGATCGTGCCACCGCACTCCAGCCTGGGAGACAGAGCAAGACACCATCTGAAGAAGAATAAAAAGAGTATTGTGGTTCTTCAAAAAAAATTAAAGATAGAATTACCATATGATCTAGCAATTCCATTTCTGGGTATATACCCAAAAGAACTAGAACAGGTTCTTGAAGAAATATTTCTGTCAATGTGTTCATAGCAGCATTATTCACAATAGCCAATAGGTGGGAGTAAGCCAAGCATCCATAAGCAGGTAAGTGGATAACCCAACTGTGGTCTAGCCAAACCATAGAATAGTCAGCCTTGAAAAGGAAGGGAATCACATCACATGCTACCAATGCCTGATTCCACCATATGAGGTACCTAGAATAGTCAGAGTCACAGAAACAGCAAGTAGAATGGTGGTTGTCAGAGGCTGGGAGGGGAACTGGAGAGTTGGTGTTTAATGGTTACAGAGTTTTAGTTTGCAAGATTAAAACAGTTATGTAGATGGATGGTGGTGATGGTTGCATAACAATGTGAATGTAAGTTATGCCACTGTAAAAATGGTTAAAATGGTCAATTTTATGTTTTTGAATTTTACCATTAAAAAAATGTGGCTAACACCAAGTCAGAAAACACAGGTGGATGACAACACAGCAAAGCTCAGCCACACTTCCCAACAGGATCCCACGACTCTCAACATCATCTGTGAAGGGTCCTCCTCCTTTACCTGATAAACTCATACCTCTCAGGTTCCGTCTTCAGAGCTAGCCACAGCTCTGCTCTACCCTTTCTCTCTGATCTTCCTTTCACTGTCTCCTGTCTCCCTCCACACCAGACTCCAGTCCCACCAGATTTCCCACTCATCTGCTGATATGATGCTCCTGCCTCTGCCTGGACTGTTGGCCTCCCCACGTGTTTCTCCCTACTTGTGAGTTTCTGACGTGGGGCCAGCACGGATTCTACCTCCTTCCATGAGCCTGCACTGTAATCCTAGACTAAGGACACTGCCCTGGGCCGCTCTGTATCCGAGCTAGGTCGGTTTCACTTCTCCACTAGCATGTGAGTCCCAAGACGTAGCAACCATATCCACTTGTTTTTGTATTCCTTATGCTCGCTAGCCTGGGACTTGGTATGGGGCATGGGCTCAATGACATTCATGCTGAGCTGAATTTGTCAAGTGTTGGTACTGTCTCTAAAGAACACTTAGAAGGCCGGGTGCGGTGGCTCACGCCTATAATCCCAGCACTTTGGGAGGCTGAGGTGGGTGGATCATGAGGTCAAGAGATCAAGACCATCCTGGTCAACAAGGTGAAACCCTGTCTCTACTAAAAATACAAAAATTAGCTGGGCATGGTGGTGCACGCCTGTAGTCCCAGCTACTCGGGAGGCTGAGGCAGGAGAATTGCTTGAACCCAGGAGGCGGAGGTTGCGGTGAGCTGAGATCATGCCATTGCACTCCAGTCTGGGTAACAACAGCGAAACTCCGTCTCAAAAAAAAAAAACAAAAAAAACAAACAGTATATCTTTGTAGGAGAGAGAAGGTGGTCAAGAAGACAGTTCTGAGGAGGGAGGGAAATGAAATTCAGCTCTAGGTACCTGTGTCAGCACACCTGGCCCTAAGGTAGGCTGCCCTCTGGACCAGATGCCATGCTCATTTGTTGCATTTTCTCTGAGGAAGCCAAGGAAACTAGGGACCCTCTCTACTGAAAGGTGTAAGAAATGTAGCATGTGCACACACATGGCATCTGTGTGCAATTCTGGGTGTTCGTGAAGCTGCTGAAACTGGGGTCCTTGGAATCCTAGCAAGGAACCCCTGTGACCATTTCTGAGGTACCTTCCAGCACTCAAGGCTAAGCGTTCTTTGTTAACAACAGTAATAACAGTGCTAATAACAGCAGCCACCATTTGCTGAGCACTTATTCTGTGCATTGTCAGGCACAGTGCCAAGCCGCCTTACCCTGGTTAATCCTCCTAGCCCACCACCTCCAGCTCATACTGACGCCGTGTTTGTCCCTCACAGTCTGCGCTCACCACAGACAGGCATGGAGGTTTATCCTGCACCCCTCTACTTGGAAACTTGTGTTCCTGAGTCAGTGCTTTCTGCCCAAATCCGGCCACTGGAAAAACCATGAAAGTTATGAAATGGAGAAACTAATGCAATATTAGAAACATACTACAGCTTACAATATATAAATTTTCAGTTGTAACATTTTCATTTATAATTGAGAAGAATGAACTCTGGAGAGGCAAACGACTTTCCGAAAGTCACCCAGATAGTGGCTGGCACAAGCAGGGCTAGAGCTGGGTCTCCTGACTCTTAGCCCAGCGAGCTTTCCTTTTCTAACCTCACTCTAAGCAGCACAGTGAATAAAAAGGAGTGGATCTAGGAGCTCTTTCACCGAAAGGAAGACATTTATTTTCCTTTTGTATTTACTGTATATACACACCTTCCTTCTATGGGATGGCAAATTAGAAAACCCACATTTGGTACAGAGTTAGGACTTTTTTTTTGGGGGATGGAGTTTCACTCGTCACCCAGGCTGGAGTGCAGTAGCGCAATCTCAGCTCACTGCAACCTCCACCTCCTGGGTTCAAGTGATTCTCCTGCCTCAGCCTCCCTAGTAGCTGGGATTACAGGTGCGTGCCACCACACCCAGCTAATTTTCATATTTTTGGTAGAGACGGGGTTTCACCATGTTGGCCAGGCTGGTCTTGAACTCCTGACCTCAGGTGATCTGCCTGCCTTGGCCTCCCAAAGTTCTGGGATTACAGGTGCGAGCCACTGCACCTGGCCCTGAGTTAGGACTTTTTGATGATAACAAAAGCAAGCAGAAGAATGATTTAAATTTTCAGGGAGACACTCAGTGTGTTCATTTACTAGCTCAGTACTTGGCAGACTCATCTTTGGGAGCAGAAACACAGAAAATTCTATTATTTATTGTAGATCCAAGTACCCCTTCCCCACTGAAAGCATCCCAGAATCCTGAAGGAGCTGGATCCCTATACATCCGTCACTGGCAGAACCAGGAGCCAGAGCGAGAGGGAAAACAGAAGGGTATTTCTGACACAAAACTAGTGTATTTGCGTTGCTCATGTAGAAATAAGATAAAAAAATGACATATTAAATATTGGTTTAGGGTTTGCCCTTTGTCCCTAGGATTTAAACTGTTTGAGGGAAAGGACCCAGGCTGGCTGTTGACTGTTGTAGTGCCAGAGCCTGGAGAACTGCATTGCCAAAGTGGGAATTGCTTTGGATTTTTTTTTTTCCTGAGACACAATCTCACTCTATTGCCCAGGCTGGAGTACAGTGGCATGATCTTGGCTCACTGCAACCTCTGTCTCCAAGGTTCAAGTGATTCTCCTGCCTCAGCCTCTTTAGTAGCTGGGGCTAAAGGTGCGCGCCACCATGCCCAGCTAATTTTTGTATTACTTAGTAGAGATGGGGTTTCACCATGTTGGCCAGGCTGGTCTCGAACTCCTGGCCTTAAGTGATCCACCCATCTCGGCCTCCCAAAGTGCTGGGATTACAGGCATGAGCCACCATGCCTGGCCAACCACGGCCCCAGCCGAAATTTCCATTGACTTAATCAGGAATGAATAAAATGATATGGCAATACTAATGAAAAACTTTATCCCCAGACATGAAGGAAACAAAAGGACATTTCGCTCATATGATTATACATGACTTAGATGCTGCTTAATGTCTAATCCAATATTTTGCATTCTACAGATCTTATAATAAAACCTTTGGGAAAAATCAAGGGTGTTTGCATAGGATGTTTTTGGAGAATTTGGCCTTTTGAAAGAAAATGTAACTAAGCTCTGTGGTTCTCAAAGCTTCCTCTACCTGAGTTGATTTAAAGATCTCTAGAACACATATGGGTATTATTGGTAGATGCCGTTCAGGTAGTTAAGGTGATGTTGGTGAGTATTATTTGATAAAAATGCTGGATATTACATCACTTCCATTCTAGACTGCCAATAACTACTATCACCTACCTTTTACTTCACCTCATAGAGATATGGGAGTTAAAAGAAAATTTTTCATCACTAATGGTAGTCTTTGGCCTATGTAAGGTAAGAAATAAAAATATCAAAGACTTATTTCTTACCTTCAAACCAGCAAGCAAGGTAAAAGCAAATAAGCATATATCTTCCCGTTTATCAGAGATTGGGTAAAACAGGACTACTGTGCAATCCAGGTTACAGCAAGATGCCTACCAGTCCCAAGGACCTGTAACCTAATGCTTATGGGCATCTGTGATGAATCCTAGCCCCATATGAAATATTCCCAGACCAAGTGGTCTGGTGGAGACCATTCCACAGTGGCAAGTTGTATCTGGCAGCTGATGATGCTCTCTGTCCCCATCATAACCCACAATCTACAACAGGGCTGCTTGTTGCTTTATTTTCAGAAAAATTTAAAAAAAGACAAGACTGTGACTATCAAAGACCCATTTACCTGGTAGTGGCAAGGAGCTGAAGGGCATGGTGGGTGTGTTTCCTAGAAAGTTGGTCTCAGGCACTGGGCTTTTATACAGACTAGGCGGATGACTTGGAATTGGCCCATACCAAACTCTGGGACCTGCTGTTCCTTGAGCCAGTGGTCTTGCTCCAAAGCCACGTAAGCCATATGATCCATTGTTCTGATATGGTACTTGAAGTTGGCTAGTGAGCCCTGAGGGCTGGTATACTGCATTACCATGACTGGTTGCACCAGAATAAGCAATGCCTTTTCCCTCTGTATTCTGAAAATTTTCACGAGGTCTTTGATGTGCAAAAGGGTCATGGGAGACCCTTCGTTTCCTTTCCTCCTCTCTGTTGTAAGCCACACTCTGTCTGGGCTGCTGTTTCGTCTGCCTGTCCATGCGGCTGCCATAGAGATGGTAGTTGGTTTCCTCCTGGAGTTTATTCTGCAGGCTGGGCACATTCTCTTCCTGCTGGTGCTCCAGGGAGGGAGCAAACCAGGACTCCTCCACAGGACCGATCCCAAATCCCTGGGAACTGTGCAGAGAACCAGGCTGCTCTGTGGCTGAGAAGAAGTAATCAACATTAGAATCGGTTTCATGAAACATTAAAAAGTAAAATAAAATCTGAGTGCCATTGTGAATCTGTACCTCAGAGTAACACAGAGAAAACAGGTAAGAGACCAGTCCAAAGCATTTAGGAGATGGTCCTTTGCCCGCAGCTTTACAAATAATAATAGGAGCTCCTCACTGGCAGCAAGAGAGAACTAGGAAAATTATAACAAGCAAGAGAAAAGCGGCTGTTGCAGGGATGACCAAGGAAAAAAGGGACTTGGCTTAGAACAGAGCAGGTAGTTGTCTCTTCAGAGCAATTCAGGTGGAAAATAAGATCTGTGGCCAGGCGCGGTGGCTCAGGCCTGTAATCCCAGCCCTTTGGGAGGCCGAGGCAGGTGGATCACCTGAGGTCGGGACTTCAAGACCAGCCTGGCCAACATGGTCAAACCCTGTCTCTACTGAAAACACAAAAATTAGCTGGGCATGGTGGTGCACAGCTGTAATCCCAGATCTTGGGAGGCTGAGGCAGGAGAATCACTTGAACCTGAAAGGCAGAGGTTGTAGTGAGCCAAGATCATGCTACTGCGCTCCAGCCTGGGTGACAGTGAGACTCTAAATCAAAAACAAAGAAAGAAAGAAAGAAAGAACGAAAGATCTACAGCAGCTCTGTCCTAAGTACTTCCCATGAATTTTCATTCTTGAAGAGCCCTATGAGAGGAGGAGCAATTATTATGATTTGATGGGTAAAGTTCAGAAGAGGTTAAGTAATTAGCCACAGATCAGATAACTACGCAGCTTCAGTACCTATACTCCGGCATCCCTTCTGTTACAGTGAAAAAAGTATCCCTACTTGACCTGAGGCCAGCCTCTCTGCTTGTGTTCTGGCTCTAAGTCACTCCGACCTCCCTAGGGACTTTGCACTCATGTACGTCCCCTTCCTTCTCCCCGAACCATCACTTCTCCCCAACAGATATATTAAGCCTCTTTTGTTCAGAACACTCTATGACTCTGCTGAGCACACTGTTACTTCATATTTCAAATATATGTAACTTAAGACTCTCGAACATTGTTATAAATTCCTTTAAGACAGGTGTTCACTTTTATAGTTTCTTCTGTTTCCCTTATGGTCTTGAATAGTATTTTAGAGAGTGGAGTGAATGAATAAGCAAACAAATAAATAAATAAATAGGTTTTTAGTTAATTTATTTTTTTTTGAGACGGAGTTTCACTCATGTTACCCAGGCTGGAGTGCAATGGCGTGATCTCAGCTCACCATAACCTCTGCCTCCTGGCTTCAGGCAATTCTCCTGCCTCAGCCTCCTGAGTAGCTGGGATTACAGGCACGCACCACCATGCCCAGCTAATTTTTTGTAGTTTTAGTAGAGACGGGGTTTCACCATGTTGACCAGGATGGTCTCGATCTCTTGACCTCATGATCCACCCGCCTCGGCCTCCCAAAGTGCTGGGATTACAGGCTTGAGCCACCGCGCCCGGTGTAAATAGGTTTTGACCGTAGTGTAATTTACCTGAATTTGACCTGCTAGGAGGTAATGCCACACAATCAAGTTGAAGAGACTGCATTCTCTTCACAACTGCATTTTCATTTGAATACTCTTTCTGTAATTAAGAGCATAAATACACACTTTAGTGAACAGCAGAAAATACTGAGTCCCAGAAAATTATGAGAAGAATTAATATTTTCAGAAGGCAGAAATTTCACATAGATGTTACAAGTGGTAATTTTTTAAAATTAAAGTTTTTCCCAAATGGCCTAAATGATCTTTAAAAGGAGCAAGGTTGGAGGACTCACACTTCCTGATTTCAAAACTTACTACGAAGCTACAGTATTCAACACAGTGTAGTACTGGCATAAAGACAGGCACATATGCCAATGGAGCAGAATGGAAAGCTGGAAATAAAGCCTCCCATAAACCAACAGATTTTTGACAAGGTTGCCAAGACCATTCAATGGGGAAAACTGAATATACACATATATAACAATGACATCGGACCCTTATTTCATACCATATGAAAAATTAACTCAAAATGGATCAAAGACTTAATTTAAGGGCTAGTGCCACAAACATTCTTAGAAGAAAACACAGGGGAAAAGCTTCATGACATTAGACTTGGCAGTGATTTCTTGCTTATGACACAAAAACACAAACAAAAGTAAAAACAATACATCAAAATTAAAAGCTTCTGTGCATCAAAGGATACTATGAAGAGAGTAAAAAAGATAACCCACAGAATAGGGAGAAAACACTTTGGGAGGTCAAGGTGGGCGGATCACATGAGGTCAGGAGTTTGAGACCAGCCTGGCCAACATGGTGAAACCTCGTCTCTACTAAAAATACAAAAACTAGCCAGGCGTGGTGGTGTGTGCCTGTAATCCCAGCCACTGGGGAGGCTGAGGCAGGGGAACTGCTTGAACCTGGGAGGCAGAGGTTGCAGTGATCCAAGATGGTGCCACTGTACTCTAGCCTGGGCGACAAAGTAAGACTCTGTCTCCAAAAAAAAGTTATACATAGAATTACCATATGATCGAGCAATTCCACTCTTAGGTATATACCCCAAAGAACTGAAGAGGCAGGAACTCAAACACATCCTTGTACCCTACTCACAATAGCCAAAAGGTAGAAACAACCCAAGCATCCATCAACAAATGAATGAATAAACAAAACATGGTACAAGTTTAGTATCCCTTATCTAAAATGCTTGGGATCAGAAGTGTTTTGGATTTTGGATTGTTTCCAATTTTGGAATATTTGCATGTACAGAATGACAAATCATGGGGACGGGACCTAAGTCTGAACATGAAGTGCCAGGGGCAGTAGCTCATGACTTTATCTCAGCACTTTGAGAGGCTGAGGTGGGCGTATTACCTGAGGTCAGGAGTTCGAGACCAGCCTGACCAACATGGAGAAACCCTGTCTCTACTAAAAATACATAATTAGCTGGGCATGGTGGCACATGCCTGAAATCCCAGTTACTCGACAGGCTGAGGCAGGAGAATCATTTGAACCCGGGAGGCTGAGGTTGCAGTGAGCCAAGACTGAGCCATTGCACTCCAGCCTGGGCAACAAGAGTAAAACTTCATTTCAAAAAAAAAAAAAAAAAAAAAAAAAAAAAAAAAAAAAAAAAAAAAAAAAAAAAAAAATTATTTGTGTTTCACATACACAACTTATACACATAGCCTGAAGATCACTTTATACCACATTTTAGTAATTTTGTGCATGAAACAAAGTTTGAGGATACTAAACTATCTATCAGAAAGCAAAGGTGTCAGGTGTGGAATTTTCCACTTGTGGCATCATGCTGGCACTCAAAACATTTCAGATTTTGAAGCATTTTGAATTTTGGATTTTTGGTTTAGGGATGTTCAACCTGTACATCCATACAATGAAATGGTATTCAGCCACAAAAGGGAATGAAATTCTGATACATGCTATAAAACAGATGAACCTTGAAAACATTATGTGAAGTGAAATATGCCAGACTCCAAAGGAAATATATTGTGTGATTCTGTTGCTAGGAGCGACCTAGAATAGGCAAATTCAGAGACAGAAAACAAAATACAGATTACTAGGGGCTGAGACAGGGAGGAATGGGGAGTTACTGCTTAATGGGTACAGGGTTTCAGTTTGGGATGACAAAAAACTAGATATAGACAGTGGTAATGTCCACACAACATTATGAATGTACTTCATGCCACTGGATTGTTCACTTAAAAATGGTTACAATAGGGAATTTTATGTTATGTATATTTTGCCACAATAAAAAACTTTTTCCTTTTAGAAGCAATAATCTTCATTATAGAAAATATAGAAAATTATAAATTCTTAAACCCTATCCACAGTTTTTCTCTTCACCCAAAGATAAAACGTTAACACTTCGGCATTTTTTCCTTCAAGTTTTTTCCCAGTTTTATTTGTATTTTGCTCTTAACAGAATGCCTGCTATATAAATAGGTAGTCAAAAAATATTAGTTAAATGAATACATGCATGATCTAGGGGTGAATGACAGAGTGTATTATGTTCCCACTTTGCAGCATTCTATATATTGTTTTTGTCTCTTCATATGTTTGTTTTTAGAGATCAAATCTCCCTCTGTTGCTGAGGCTGGAGTGCAGTGGCACAATCATAGCTCACTGAAGCCTCCCAACTCCTGGGCTCAAGCAATCCTCCCAGTTCGTCCTCCCAAAGAGCTGGGATTACAGGCTTGCGCCACTACACCCAGCTGTGTGTTTAGTTTTTAATTAATATATATTTGTTTGTTTTTTTCTTGAGATAGGGTCTCACTCTGTCATCCAGGCTAGACTGCAGTAGTGAGATCATGGCTCACTGCAACCTTGACCTCCCAGGCTCAAGAGAGCCTCCTACCTCAGCCTCCTGTGTAGCTGGAACTACAGGCATGTGGCACCACGCTTGACTAATTTTTGTATTTTTTGTAGACATGGGTTTTTGCCATGTTGCTGGTTTTGAACTCCTGGCCTCAAGAAATCCACCCACTTCAACCTCCCAAAGTGCTAAGATTATAGGCATGAGCCACCACACCTGGCCTAATATGAAAATTATTTTTGTTATATTAATTTTATAAAATTGGTTTTCTTTTTATAGTTACTTTTATTACATGAATATGTAAGTACAAACTCCTTTTGAAAGATTTAAACAGGCTAGACATGGTGGCTCACGCCTGTATTCCCAGCAATCTTGAAGGCTGAGGCAGGCAGCTCACTTGAGGTCAGGAGTTTGAGACCAAACTGGCCAACATGGCAAAACCCTGTCTCTACTAAAAATACAAAACAATTAGCTGGGCATAGTGGTGCACGCCTGTAATCCCAGCTACTCGGGAGGCTGAGGCATGAGAATCACTTGAACCTGGGAGGTAGAGGTTGTGGTGAGCAGAGACTGTGCCACTGCACTCTAGCCTGAGGGCAGAGTGAGACTCTGTCTCAAAAAAGCAAACAAACGAACAAAAAAACCCAAAGTTCCAAGCAATGCAGAATCACAGAATAATACGCAAACATTCTTTCAGCCCCTACTCTTCCATTCCCTAGAGGTAAGCCTTATCCAGAATGTGATGCATATCACTCTTATTCTCTCTCTAGGAATTTACACACACATTCTAGAAATACACAAATACACACACACACACACAACACACACAAATATGTGTATATATACGCATGTATATGTGTGTGTGTGTGTGTGTGTGTGTGTATATATATAATTTTTTTTTTTGAGACACAGTTTCACTCTGTTGCCCAGGGTGGTGTAGTGGCATGATCTTGGCTCACCGCAGCCTCCATCTCCTGGGTTCAAGCAATTTTCATGCTTCGGCCTCCCGAGTAGCTGGGATTATGCGTGTGCACCACCAAATCTGATTAAATTTTTTTGTATTATTAATAGAGACAGGGTTTTGCCATGTTAGCCAGCTGGTCTCCAACTCTCGACCTCAAGTGATCTGCCTACCTCAGCCTCCCATAGTGCTGGGATTACAAGCATGAGCCACTGCACCTGGCCAACATTGTTTATATACATTACAATATGACGTATATAAACATATATGTTTATATATATATTATATAACATAAACATGTTATATATACTTGTTTTATATGTATAACATGTTTATATGTTATATATGTTTATATACATATTAACATTAAAAAGATCACACTGTAAATATTGTTTTGTAACTTACACTTTTCACTAACATTTAATCTTGAAGATCTTTCTATATTATTACATGTTAGTTTCCACCTCTTTCTTTTAAATGGCTATATAGTATTCTGTAGTTTAGATGAATCATAATTTAGGGCATTTACTTATGGACATTTGGGTTTTGTTCTAGTTTTTCACTCTTATAAACTAAGGTGCAAAGAACTGAAGCTACATCTTTGAGTGCACATGTGAGTAGTATAGATTACTGAGAGTAAAATTGCAGCAAACTTATGGGCTTGTAGAATTTGTTGGGTGCTTTGCCTTCTAATAAACTTCACCAGTTTACATTCTTACCAATACTTCAGAAGACTGCTTGTTATTCTGAATTTTCACCAAAACATTGTATTACGAATCTTTCAAAAAGTTCCATCTAATGGATGAAAAGTTGTAACAGATTCATTTTGCTTTTCTCTGTTGGCAAGGCCAAATAACTTTTCTGAAATGTGTTGTTCACTTTCTTTTTTGAGTTGTCTATGTTTTTTGTCTATTATTTTTCTTTTGAGTTATTTTTGTTTTTTATTTGTGGGTACTCTATTAAATATTCTGGATATTAATCCTTTGCTAAACACAATTTCTCCTTTCCAACTATCTTTCCATTTTTATGGGGTCATATACAATAATCTTTTTCTTTACACCTTGTGAATTTTATGTGTAGCTTAAGAAACATACATGGATTGATTTTGGACTTTGTGGTAGACAGTGATGGGCCTCTCAGATTCCCTCTCAAGAAGGGATTTGCTGCCCTGCTGCAAGGCGCTGAGCGAGCAAACAGCCTGCAGCTGTGAACTTCTATGCCCCAGCACTCCCCTTCTGAGCAGCTACAGTCAGTGACTGAGTGAGGCGAGGGGAGAAAGCCTTGGGCATTTCAGTCCGGTGTGGGACAAGCCAGAGAGACATGTGCTCAGTGCTCCCCGCTGCCAGAGCTCTTGGTCAGGCTTCGTTGCCCTTTGACTTCTTCCTCTGCTCATTCCTGCTTCCCACACCTTCCTTGCACCCAATCTCTAGCTCAGCGGCTGCTTCTGGAAAACCCAACCGCAAAGACTCACCTTTTCTATTAATATATTTGATTATCCTTGCTATAGTACTATGCTGTTCTGATCGCCTTCTTCAGAATTTTCTTGGCTATCTTTGTACATTTTTTTCTTTCACACAGACTTAAGAGTCAGCTTGTTGAATTCCATAAAGAATTTTGTTGTGCTTTTAATTAGGATTGCACTCCTTTTATAAATGACATTGGGGAAAATAGACAGCTGTTAGCATGTCAAGTCTTTCATCCATAAACATATTTCACTGTTTATTTAGATTCATTTCATGTTGTTTAGAAAAGCTTTGCCATGTTTGCCAATGTGTAGACATATAATATTATCTTATTGTGTGTTACCTAATGGGGGTGGTAAGTAGCTTGGTCTTGCATATTATCTCAAAGAAAGGTGGACTGGGCAAAGTGGCTCACGCCTTATAATCCCAAGAGGGCAGATGGCTTGAGCTTAGGAGTTTGAGACCAGCCTGGGGAACATAGCAAAACCCTGTCTCTATAAAAAATACAAAAATCAGCTAGGCATGGTGGTGCATGCCTGTGGTCCCAACTACTCGGGTGGGGGCTGAGGTGAGAGGATCACTTTAGCCTGGGAGGTCAAGGATGCAGTAAGCTGTGATCGCGCCACTGCACTCCAGCCTGGGCAACAGGCTAAGACCTTGCCTAAAAAAAAAAAAAAAAAAAAAGAAAAGGCTGTTAACATTTTGCTAAAATAAGTACAAAACTTCTGGTCATTTCAAGATACCCTATTATCAGAAAAGGATTTCTTTTCTGACTTGATAGTATTTTTAATCATGAATAAACATTACGTTTTATCAACACATTTTTCTGCATCTGTTGATAAGATACATCTTTTTCTCATTTACTAAAACAACGTAATAAATTATAATGACATATTTTCATAAAGTTACACTAACTTTACAATTCTTGGGATAAATCTATTTTGCTTTTGTTCTTTGATAAATTCATTTTTGCTTACAGTATTTTATTTAGAACTTTTGCATCCATACTGTTAACAAGATTGGTCTGTAATTTTCCTTTGTTGCACCTTTCCCAGTTCTGGGAATCACGGTTATGCTTACACAAAATGAATCTGGAAGAGTTCTCTCTTCCGTATTATCTAGAGAAAGCTGTGTAAAATTGACATAATGTCTTCATTGAATATTTGGTAGAAATCATTGACGAAGTTATCTAGTTGTGGGATATTCTCTAGAGGAAGATTTTTTGAATCACTAATTCTTTTAATAGTTAGAGGAATATTCGAATTTTCTATCTCTATTTAAGTTAGCTTTACTAAATTATACTTTTTATAAAAGACATTGGTACATTTTATCTAATTTTAAAATAGTCAACAAAGAGTTGTTCATAATATTCTAATACCATTTGATGTCTGCAGGACCTATAGTGATTCCTCTTTATTCATGGATTTCAATCTTGTCTCCTTTGTCAGTCTTTTTTTTTTTTTTAGGAGTAGATTCTCACTCTGTCACCCAGGTTGGAGTGCAGTGGCATAATCATAGCTTACTCCAGCCTCAAACTCTTGGGCTCAAGCAGTCCTCCCATCTCAGCCTTCCTGGGACTACTGGAACATGCCACCATGTCTCGTTAATTTTTTACTTTTATTTTTTTAGAGATGGGGTCCTGGCCTTAAATGATCCTCTCACCCCAGCCTCCTGAGTAACTGGGATTACAGGCACATACCTCACACCTAGCTGAATTAGTCTTAATTAGTCTATTTTAATGGCCTTTCAAATAACCAATATTTGGCTTTTTTGATCCTCTATTAGTTATTTTTTGTGTCATTAATTTATGCTCTTTTCCTTATTATTTACTTATTTTTTCTCTAGATTTGCTATCTTCTTCAGATAAATGTTTAGCTAATTAATTTTCAGCCTTTCTTATTTTCTTAAATATATAAAAATATTTATTAAGGTTATACTAATAAGTACTCTTTTGCAAAGTACATTTTATAATTTTAATATGTAGTGCTTTGTTAGCCTTCAGTGAAAAATACTTTCTAAATAACATTGTGATTTCTATCTTTTTTTTTTTACTTAAGGGATATTTAAAAGTATTTTTCTTTACTTCTAACCACATAAGACTTTCCAATTACCTTTTCAAAATTAATTTTGAACATAATTGAAATACAGTCAGAGGACATTTTTATATGATTACAATCCTTTTAAACTGTTTGAGACTTGTTTGATTTTCTAACACATGGTCCGTTTTTGAAAATGCTCTGCATGTTCTTGAAAAGCCTTTAAAGGTGGGTATTCTGCAGTTACTAGATACAGCATATCATGTGTTTCCATTAGGCCAAGTGTGTTAGTCATGTTCTTCATGTCTTCTATATCCTTACTGAATTTTGTTTGCTTGTTCTATCAATTGAAGAGAGATGTGTATTAAAATCTTAAGCTGTAGGTTGTGGATTTGTCTGTTTCTCTTTGAGTTCTGTCACTTTTTGCTGTGCTGATTTTGAGGCCATGTTGAGGGAATGTGTTCTCTTTCCAGGTCCATGAGGGGGCGTAGTTTTAAGGGCAAAAATTTCCCAGCGCCACACCCCCCTCCCATCTCTCTCCATCCGGGATATTTAACATTTTATGTTTGAATTTCACGGGCACGGGAAGAAACTAAAGTCAGTCACCCCAGCGGAAGTTCTAAGGAACTCCTTTCATTGGCCAGAGGAAATTGGGAGGGATAAATTTCTCCCAGGATAAATTCCCCTGCTCCTTCACCTAGGCCAGATTTCCAGCTCTCTAGAATGCCCTCCCACATGGTGGGAGCTCCCTCTGGGATTTCCCCTCTGGAATCCCCTTCCACACTCTTCGTGTAAGCCTTTCTCTTCTTCTCCTTTCCTCTCTTTTCTCTACCTAAATAAAATCACTTTTCTGCAACACTTCTTGGGTCCGATATTTACTTTTACTAGCATTCGGTGCACCTGCAGTGGCCCCACCGCTTATTCTTTAAGAGGCTGGAGGCCAAGAGCTCACAGCATTCTCTAGGGGGAGCTGTGCCTCACCAGCGCTCAAGAAAAAACCCGGTTACAATGTTACTGAGGGTAGATCCACATTTAAAGTGGTTATCCCTTCCTGATGAATTGAGTCTTTGATCATTATGAAATATTCCTGATTGTTTGGGGGAATGTTTTTTTGCCTTTGAGTTTATCTTAGCTGATTCTAATCTTTTTTAAAAATTATATTTTAAAATCTCTGTCTGTTTGCCTGTTTTATTTGCTGTAGTCTCCTGTACATGATTATGGAGGTAAGTTGCTGGAAGACGTATGACAGTAGTTTGATTACAGTGTTTGATTGGCACTGGGGCAGGGTGGTCTCCATTCCTCTTAGTTGGTTGGTTCCTAACTGGGTCTTGTCATACCCTTCTCACCCCAGATACCATCTCCCTGCTTCAGTCTTGGGGAGATGGTACTGCCATCTGTTGCTAAGTATAGGGGAAGTAGGGAGAGAAGCCAACCTTCCTAAAGAACGTGAATGAAGCTTCAAATGACTCTCCTGTCAGTGTCTCAGGTGACCATGCTGTTACTTCTGTACACTGACCCAAGGCTGCCCCTCCAGTACTTCTTCCTCAGCGTTATGTCTTGGGTTAGTATTCCTTTTCTGTTATATGTCTCAGCAGAATCACTCTGTGGACTATCTTTCAAGAAGTCCTCAAAATGGCTGATTCACTTGTGGTTCTTTCCCTCTTTGCCAGCGACATTGTGCTTTTGTTTCATATGGCTATACACGTTTTCTCTCATTTTGTGAGTTTTGAAGGAGAAATGGTTCCAGTATGCCAACAGGATGATATCTGCAGACAACTGCCCGTTTTGTTTTATACGTTTACCAGGCTAGCTTACCTCAAATCTCAGTAAAAAATTACATTGTTTTGGTTTTCATGACAGACTATATTTTGATATGTTAATATTTTGAGCATCTGCTATGTTGCCTACCTTTAAACTCTTCACGTCTTCTTCTACGCTTTCTTCCAATTGACTTAAATAAAAAGGCCTAAATGTTTCTTCAATGCCTGTAAGAATAAAATAGTATTTTAAATTTCGTAATTATTTTCTAACATAAAATAAAAATATTAGCCATCTATTATCTTTGAATTACCTACCTCAATCTGTGGGCAAAGCAGTAAAATAAAAATTTAAGCTCCAAATCACTGACTCTGATGGAGACAGAACAAGGGATAGGCTAACACTGGAAACCAGGTGTTCCTGCCTAAATAGCCTGTGCTGTTTGTGCCTTTTATTCGTGCTGCGGTTTCTCTGCCTGCAACGCAAACCGCTCCCTGATGTGAGTTCATCTCCAGCTGAACACGGATGGGCAAACTCCGTGTTTCTGTCCCTTGTGAATTGAATTTATGAGAGGATGGGATACTCAGAGCGAGGATTTAGTGCAACGGCTTAGAGCTGTTAGCCTTAAAAGAAAAAAGAAACTTCCAGTTCCAGGACGATGGGAGTGGACATACTTTTTTCTTATTCCTCCTTCTAAGCACAACAAAAAAAAAAAATCCTAGACATTATTTTTAAAACAAATATACAGAGACTCTGAAGGAGAAAAGAAGAAGGCAGACCAGCAGGAAACCCTGGGATCAGATGAAACACACGATAGTGAGTTTACTAGATTCTCTCTTTTCCTCATATATCTCAGACCTGGCTGAAAAGGTGGCAATCTCGAACCATCAACACCTCAGACAAAAAATCTCCAACCAAAGCCTGCTCTTTCTAGCCAGAGAACTAAGCAAGAGGCAGCCTACCAAGACAAAACCTTTAGTCCGTCTGCAGCCATACCATCCTGAATGCACCCCATCTTGTCTGATCTTGGAAGCTAGGCAGGGTCAAGCCTGGTTAGTACTTGGATAGGAGAAAGCCTTTAGTCAATAACCACTCTATTCCAGCCAATTACCACAGAAAAAACCCTGTGGCTCCACCCCCACCCACAGCAGCTAAGGCCAAATGGAGAGCCTAGACATCCAATCTCATGAGACAGTAACAAGGAAACCCAACACCCCCACGAGGGTAATGACAGATGAGGCCCAACTGGAAGCCAGGCTGTCCTACCTGCCAGCTGATAATGAGCCCCTCCATTCCCTTGATGTCAGTAGAACACAAGGACAGCCTGGATTTGCCCCACATGGCAATAACAAAACCCTCTATCCCCTCCCCACTGGGGAAGTGTCAGAGGAGGTCTAGGGGAGAATCAGGACTTCTAACATTGTCCAGTGGTAATGAGGTGCCTTCACCTCTTGTCAGTGGGGACTATGTGCACTTTGCCAGAATTCCCACCCCTGACCTGCAGTGAAGAGGAGCCTCTGACTTTGAGCGTCAATGGGGCTGAGTGGAGAGGCTGAACTTCTACCTGCACCCAGCACTACTAAGGTGGCCACCACTCTTCCCTTGTCAGAGCAGTGTCAGAAAAGCTCAGCTAAAAAAGAAGGCTTAAAGAGGACACAGAATCTCATAACATAGTAGTAACATGTACAAGTTTCAACAGAAAACTTGCTCATTATATTAAGAATCAGAAAGGTCCCAAACTGAATGAAATAAGACAATCAATAGATGCCAACACTGAATGTTGGCAATGTTAGAATTACCCGTCAAGGATTTTAAAATAGCCGTGATCAGAACGATTCAATTAATAGTTATGAACCTGCCTGAAACAAATGAAAAATAGAAAGTCTCAGCAAAAAAGGGGAGAATATAAATTTTAGAGTTGAAACTTTGATGACCAAAATATAATAAAAAGCTGAGTAGACAGGTTCAACTGTGGAATGGAGGAGAGAGAAAAATCAGTGTACTGGAAGACAGAATATAGAAATTATCCAGTCTGAACAAGAGAGAGAAAATTATCTGAAAAAAAAAAAAAATACAAAGCCTTAGGACCTGTGGGACTATAGTTTTTATAGTTTAAACCAAAGATATAGTTTTTATGTTGTCAGAATTCCAGAAGGAAAAGAGAAAGAGTGGGGCTTAAAAAGTACTGACAGAAATAATGGCTGAAAGCTTCCAAAATATGGTAAGAGGCATTAACCTACAGATTCAAGAAGCTGAGCAAAACCTAAACAGAATAAACCCAAAGGAAGCCACACCAAAACAAATAATAATTAAATCTTTGAAAAATAAAGACAAAGTCTTGAAAGCAGCAAGAGAAAAATAACACCTTATTTATAAGGAAAAAAATGTAGAAAGACAGAAGATCTCTCAATTGAAACCACGGAGGTCAGAAAGAAGTGGCACAATATTTTTGAAGTCCTGAAAGAAAAGAACTGTCAACATAGAATCTTATACCCAGCAAAAATATCCTTTAGGAACAAAAGAAAGACCAAGACATTTTCAGAGGAAAACAAAGAGAATTTATTGGCAATAGACATATCCTAAAAGAATGGTTAAGGAAAGTTCTCTAAACAGAGAGAAAACAATAAAAGAAGATACCTTGGAGAATCAGGAAGGTTTGGTTTTGTTCATGGCAGGTAGCACCTAAAATCTTTGGAGTCTTCTAAGAGTGTCTTTTGGGTGGGGTCAGAAAACTAGGGAGCTTCAGACTGGGGGCTAGCAACCAGAAAGATCAAGCTATAATTAGAAGGTTGGGACTTCCAGCTCCATCTTTGACTTCCAGTGAGGGGAAAGGAACTGGAGATTAAGCAAAAGCACCAATGACCATGATTTAATCAATCATGCCTATGTAATGGAACTTCCGTAAATCCCCTTAAATGGTAAGGTTTGGAGAGCTTCTAGGTTGCTAAACATATAGAAGCACTGGAACGTGGTGTGTCTTGAAAGCTCTGTACACTCTCTTACCATACCTCACCTTACGCATCTCTTCCCTTTGTTTCTGAATTGTACCCATTATAATAAAAAGACATAAATAAAATGTTTTCTTGAGTTCTATGAGTCTTTCTAATGAATTACCAAACCTGCAGTGGGGGTTGGGGGAATACTCAAATTTGTAGTTGGGTGAATAGACGTGTAAGTAGCCTGGGTACCCAATGCTGGTGAAGATGCAAGAAACTGTATCACTCAGACACTGAATATAAAATGGCACAGCCCCTCTAGGAAAATGTTTGGGAATCTTTAAAATAAGCTAGATGAAACTACCATAAAACCTAGCTATTGCACTCCTGGGTATTATTCCAGAGAAATTCAGGTTTATATTCACATAAGAACATGTATTTACAGCTGCATTAGTCCCAACCAGTTAAGAATTGGAAACAAGTCTTTCAAGGAGTGAATAAACAAACTGTGGTATATCCACACCATAGAATACTGCTCAGCAAACACCCAGGTCCTTTTCACCCTCCCTCTAGGACAGGGCCAATCTAACTGGCAAAATACATTTCTAAAGATGCCAGCTAAACAAGGGAGGGGACAGAAATAAAAGAAGTGAAGAAGCAAGAAGGCTGGTGAAAGCCACCTAAGGGCTCATAGACGGATCAATGGATAAACAAATGCAGTCTATCCATACAATGGAATACTATTTAGCCATGAAAAGGAAAGAAATTCTGACATATGCTACAACACAGATGAACCTCGAGGACATCATGCTAAGTGGAACAAGCCAGACACAAAAGGACAAATATTGTATGGTTCCACTTATATAAGGTACTCACTACAGTTAAATTCATAGAGATAGAAAGTAAAATGAGGGTTGCTAGGGGCAGAAAGAGGGATGAGGGAGAGTGAGTGTACAACAATGGGACTGTTCTTACTGCCCCTGAACAATGCACTTGAAAACAGTTACAATGTTAAATTTAATGTTACATATATTGTAACCCAAGTTAAAAAGTTAATTACAAAAAAGGGAACACTAAGGCCTTAGGTGCCTTCATGCTTTTGAGAGAGATGGTTTCTTTGCATTGAACAACATGTTTGAAATCTAGGAAATCAGTTTAAAACCACAAGTAAAGTGGAACTCAGTTTTCTGAAGATTCAAACCAAGTTCCTAACAACATCTTACTAGGAAAATCACCACACAGGATGCATCCTACACAGTCAGAAAAGATGTTCTTACCAGGAAATGTCGGCCGAACTTCCAGATTCGCTTCCCAGCAGAGCTTCATGAGGCTGATAATTTCCCTTGGGCAGTACTCAATGATGTCATCCACATCTGGCCTATTGCCAGATATTATGCACATTATCAACTGCTGCTCACAGATAGCATCTAAAAGCAAAGAGAAGCTGAGGCTGAGACTTTCTTTCAGCTTTTGCTTTCTTTCAGGTTTTGCTTCTCTCTCAGGCAGGAAGGTGACAGAACAATACTGCTCCTTTTTCTCTGCCTCTGGTATGCCTGTGGTACAGTTGCCTCATTCCCTAGAAGGAATGGCAGCTGACATATTCTACTGTACAGATGACCAAACAATATCTTAATGTCTGCAGATAAAACAAAATTCTCAACAAAGCTGCCTGCTGGTGGAACGAAAGGATTATGTGGGCAAGGCCAATGGCATGTTCCATATGCAAAGGTAAATATGGGGCAGTCCTTGTCTTTAGGAGTTCGGTTTAATGAGAGTAACTTTTTTTTTTTTTTTTGAGATGAAGTTTAGCTCCTGTTACCCAGGCTGGAGTGCAATGGCGCGATCTCGGCTCACCGCAACCTCCGCCTCCTGGGTTCAGGCAATTCTCCTGCCTCAGTCTCCTGAGTCGCTGGGATTACAGGCATGCGCCACCATGCCCAGCTAATTTTTGTATTTTTAGTAGAGACGGGGTTTCACCATGTTGACCAGGATGGTCTCGATCTCTTGACCTCGTGATCCACCCGCCTCGGCCTCCCAAAGTGCTGGGATTACAGGTGTGAGCCACCGCGCCCGGCCTAATGAGAGTAACTTAAAACACAGACTGATCATTGCTATTCAAAAAGGAAGGATGTACAAGGGGTTCCGGTAGCCCAACCCCGACTAGAAAGGTCCAGGAATGCTTTGTCGAGTCCAGAAAAACCAGCAGGTAAAGAATCGGAAAGGGTGACTTAGGGAGGAGGACTCCAGACAAGAGAAGCAGGATATTGATAGACTAGAGTTACAGAGATCATGACACGTCCCAGAAATTCCTCACTCAGTGTAACTATACACTGACAAAGAAGGGAGAGTTAGGGATGAGGCCAGTAGGGAAGCAAAGGCCAGAAGATGAAGGCCTTCTATTCCACACTGAGGAATTAGAACTTTATCCTGAAGACCACAGAGAGTCTGGAAAGGATTTTTAATAGGTGAGGAAGAGGGTCACATGCGTCTTTTAGGACGACCGTTTTGGCTGCCACATGAATGGTGAAAGGTGGGAGAAGCCTGCCGCAGAAACAAGGAGAGCTTGAACTAAGCAGAGGCTTGTGGGGACACAGAGAGGTAGATGGGTTGCAGATATATCTTGAGTCATATATGTATGTTGAATTCATAGGTTTTGAGATCTGACAGAATGTGAGAGAGGAGAGGCAAGGGTAAGTCTGGGATGATTCTAAGGTTTCTTATTGAGCACCTTGACCTTGGTAAAAGGGTGGCGATGCCACTTTCTGAGCATATGAAGAGGAGTGAAGCAGGGCGAGCTGCAGGACAGTGTCGACAAGATGGGTGTGTTTGGGGGATGCTGCTTTGGAGGCTCCTCTGGTACCTGCGATGGATCTGACGATAAGACAAGTGGATATCCAGGCCAGAGCCAGAAACACAGATTTAAGAGGGATTCGCGGCTGGGCACAGTGGCACATGCCTGTAATCCCAGCACTTTGGAAGGCTGAGGCAGGCGGATCACGAGGTCAGGAGTTCAAGACCAGCCTGGCCAACATGGTGATACCCTGTCTCTACTAAAAATACAAAAAATAAGCCAGGCGTGGTGGTGCACGCCTGTAATTCTAGCTACACAGGAGGCTAAGGCAGGAGAATTGCTTGAACCCGGGAGATGCAGGTTGCAGTGAGCTGAGATCGTGCCACTGTACTCCAGCCTGGGAGAGCTGATGATTGCCCAAGATGAATAGGTAGGAAAACATCCATTAGTTTATGCACGTAACAAACTGAAGAGTGTCTCTGCTCTTCTACATGAGTCATGACTTACTCATCTTTATATTCCCAGTGCTGACTAAAGTGCCCACAGTAGGGACTGAAAAGAAATAATTCTTGAAAAATAATAAATAATTTAAAGAAATAATTCTTGAATGAAGAAGTGAAGGATATACAATATTTATATCTTATACTCACTCCATTCAATTATTATATTATCTACATAATATAATAATGATATATGATTGCTGCACCCTCAGTGCTGCTTCCCCTTCCAATTCCCCTTTTGGAGGCTTGTGCTTAGATTCCTGCTGTGAAAGCCAATTAGATATGACGCTCCCCTATCTAAATCCTGCCCTTGAATGGACCAAAGAAAAATCCCTTTCCCTTGTTCCCTTTACTACAATGGAAAGAACATGAGGGAAACTGATTTTTTAAAATACAGACAGAAGTAAATATGTATAATACATATATATATAATATAATTCTTGAATGAAGGAGTAAGTGAAGGAGTGAAAGTATGATGTGTATGCCTTGTGGTGTGACAGGCTAAGTCCTCACAAGCAGAAACAATCAAACTTTCCTGTCTAGGAAGAACCCTGGAATTTCACAGCACTTCTCAAGCTAATGACACACTGTCAAGGTTCCTATTCATCCTGTGATCACTGATTCCTATATGGGAATGCTTATTCATTCAACAAAAATTTACTGGGCACCTATTAGTTCTAGGTATAGCGCCTGTAGATGCTGAGGAGACAGCAGTGGATAAATCAAATGTGGTCCTTGCTCCCAGAGAACTCACGGTTGAGCAGGTAAGACTGATGTTAAAAGAACAAACAACTATAAACAACCACTGACTTCACTGAAGCCCACTATTTCATGTAACAGTGTTGGTTCATATCAAAATCGTACTCTTCTAATGCCTTACTTTCATATGGCTCCTTATGTGCAAATATCACCCAAAGTACTATGGCAAAGCTGTACACATCCGACTTCTCTGTGGGCCTTGCGTTGACATCGTTCAGGTGCTCGGGTGCCATGTAGTAGAGGGTGCCGCCGTTCTTCTTGGAGGTGCCGTCCACTTCCCTCAGCTCGTTGTGCTCCTCTTTAGACAGTTTGCTCCACGTCTTAAAGGAAGCAAGGCCGAGGTCTGCGATCTGCAAAAGAGATCGAGCCACTGGGATTGTTTGGTGAAGGCCACAGGCAAATCAGATTTGACTTTAAATTTGGGGTTTATTCAATATACGTAAGACATGGTAAATTTTCCAGAAATGGTTGCACTGGGCAGGTTAGAAACAGTGACTTCTCAATAGACTCACAGAAACTGTGTCTCATCAGCCATTTGTAAAATCTCCCCCAAGAAATGTTCACATAAAATTCTGGTATCACATTCCTTATGCAATAAGTGGAAGGGGAAAAGCAGAAGACATTTCTGACAAGAAGAGTAACAAGCAAACATATTTATTCTAATTCCCCATTGTCTCTGCATACGGTTTTCAACTATTTCTGGGGTTTGGGGAAACATGATTATTTTCTTCTCTGCACGTTTATGTAGCAGACAGTGGCTAAGTACTACACCTTCTACTTCCCCAAATGGCGTCCAGAGGCCCATGGATGCGAGTGTCTAGGGATCCCAAAGACACACTGAGGATAAGGACTGCAGTGCTGCTTGTTTTGAGTCGTAGCCTGAACCTAAGAGAAGATGGGGTGGGAAGGAGGAGAAAAACGGACAAAAAAGCAGAGAGAAAAATTCCAAGGTCAGACACAGAACAAGAACAGAGGTGGCGGGGCAAAATGACAGAACAATACAGCTAAGAAGAGATCAAGGGTGCTAGTTCCACTTCTGCCTCCAGGAATCCAAGCAGGCACGTGGGGATTATCTTGGCATGTGGTTGCCAAAAATCCACAGATTCTAAGCCACGACATAAGAGGAAAGTCATGAATTTCAAGATAGGTTATGAATGAGTAATTTTTATTCCCATGGCTTTTTTTTTAAAGACATGGGAATAAAAATCTCTCCAAGACTAGGACGAAGTGCTAGACGCAGAACCTGCTGGTGGAGAGAGGCCCGTGTGTCAGTAGCTCCTGAGTGCCCCCCCAGTGCTGCTTCCCCTTCCGCTTCCCCTCTCAGAGGCTAGTGCTTGGATTCCTGCTGCGAAAGCCAATTAGATATGATGGTCCCCCTAGCCAAGTCCTGCCCTTGAATGAACCAAAGAAAAATCCTTTTCCCTTGTTCCCTTTACTGCAATGGAAAGAACATGGTCAAAGTTTTTTGTTTTTTTTTTTTGAGATGAAGTTTAGCTCTGTCACCCAGGCTGGAGACTAGTGGCGTGAACTTGGCTCACCACGACCTTCACCTCCCGGGTTCAAGTGAGTCTCCTGCCTCAGCCTCCTGAGTAGCTGGGATTACAGGCACCCACCACTACACCCAGCTAATTTTTGTAGTTTTGGTAGAGACGGGGTTTCACTGTGTTGGCCAGGCTGGTCTCGAACTCCTGACTTCAGGTAATCAGCCCACCTCGGCCTCCCAAAGGGCTGAGATTACAAGCATGAGCCATCACACCCAGCTGGAAACTGATTTTTCAAAATACAGACAGAGGTAAACAATTAAATAAAAATATAAAACAAAATTTCTAAGTAGAGGTTTTTGATGCCAAAATGATCAACTCACTGCTGATCTCACTCTTAGGCCACATCTGAATTCTTAAGGATTTTCTGCACACATCTTCACATTCCCCTGCTTTTCCAGAGGAGGGGAGTCTTGGTGACACAGATTTCCTGGGGAAAATTATGGTGCCAGTGGCCCATTCCAGGATGAAAAAGGCAATCTTTGAATGTTTCCATCTCAAGTCTAACAGGAGAAAAACACAATCTAGGAAAGAGGTCTTCTTACCTACCCCATTCAATTCCACTCTTCCCCAAAAGATATGAGTTAGCCTGACAGTTATCTCCTGATCCCATCCCATCTTTCCTTCCAAACACTGGTAGAGCCTTTTGGCACCATCATCACCAGTCATAACCCGAGCTAGGTCTTCCTTTAGCTTCTACAATTTATAAGAATGAATTTACATTGGAGAATCAAAACTAAAATCACCCAACTTTCTGGAAGCCTACCAATGATGGTTTACCTTAATGTGGAAGTCATCATCAACAAGGATATTTTCAGGCTTCAGGTCCTTGTGTATCACGCCTTTTCCATGTAAGTAGCACATTCCTTCAATGATTTCCACAATTATCCTTCCTTTTACAGAAAGCGGAGTACTCATCTAAAACAGGTGATATTAAGTCTATGAAATGGAAAGGTAATCAAATAGGCCAAAGCAACTGTTTCATGAAAGGGTGGTGGGATCTGAGCCTGAGGACAGGGTTACCAGGTTACCTTTCAACAGATGCACCATGGCACTGCTGTCACTGGGAAACAAGATTTCATTGCAGGGGAGAGGGGGCAAAGGTATTCATGTTGTATGTTGTTCGTGTAAAAACAAAATCCCACAATCATTTGGTAATGTATAAAATACTATAAAATTAAGCTCCTTGAGAACAAAAATATATATTATTTAGGACTGTATCTTTTGTTTTTTGTTTTTTCTTCTTCTCCTTTTTGATATACTTTGATATACTTTTTTTTTTTTTTCAAGATGAGGTTTCACCATATTGGTCAGGCTGGTCTCGAACTCCTGACCTCAGGTGATCTGCCCACCTCAACCTCCCAAAGTGCTGGGATTACAGGCATGAGCCACCGCGCCCAGCTAGGACTGCATCTTTAGAACCTAGGATTGTACCTGGAATGTTTGTTGAATGAATGGATGAATAAATATACGAACAAGCATTTTTAATGGGATACTCATATGATGTCATACTAAGTTTGCGGTAAGAACATGAACAATGCCATGGAAATGTGTATAAAAATAACATTAAGAGAAAAAAGAATACAAGGGAACATGGTGAAACCCTGTCTCTACTAAAAATACAAAAATTAGGCATGGTGGTTGCATGCCTGTAATCCCAGCTACTCTGGGGCTGAAACAGGAGAATCGCTTGAACCCAGGAAGTGGAGGTTGCAGTGAGCCGAGATCGTGTCATTGCACTCCAGCCTGGGCAACAAGAGCGAGACTCTGTCTCAAAAAAAATAAAACAGCGTGATCACCACTATACAGAAAGTAGCAAAAGAGATGTTTTCCCTTCTTCCTTGGTATACCTTTGAACTTAGGAAAAACTTCTAAACAAGCAAAGTTAGTCCCCCTCTCTCTTCTCTTTCTGCTTCTCTCTCAGGTCCTCTTGATGTCCTAAGTCCAAACACTGTGCACCTGAACTTTCGCTGATCCTGCAGAATGCCTCATGCCCCAAATGATTTCTCGCTCATCTCAGAAGCTAAGCAGGGTTGGGCCTGGTTAACAGTTGGATGGGAGACCGTAGACTTATTTCCCAATCAAAGGTTTACTTCAAACAGCTGATCTTCTCGAGTTCTGGGGAGGAGAGCAATCTGACCAAACTACAATACCATGTGTGTAAGTATCACCTCTTCTCCTTCCCAAAGGCATTTTTGTGAGATGTCTGTTGACCTGGCAATTGTGGGGTGGGAGAAGAAAGTGGAAAAGTGGGAGTATTTGCCATAAAGGCAGCCACATCCCACCACCCCACCCCATGCCCTGTGCTATCTACGCTCTAGCCAAACCCAGGAATTTACAGTTCCCCAAATTTGGCAGTCTCTACATAGTATCCTCTGCCTGGAACACTTACTCCCTAATTCTCTGCTTCTAAACATCTACTTGTGTTTCAGATGGGAAGCCTTTCCTGTCTATCCCAGACTGAGTGGGTGCCTCTTCTGTAATCCCACAGCAGATGAGGAGTATGTCTATCAGAACACCACTGGCTGGGAGCAGTGGCTCATGCCTGTAATCCCAGCACTTTGGGACATTGAGGCAGTCAGATCATGAGGTCAGGAGTTCGAGTCTGGCCAATATGGTGAAACCCTGTCTCTACTAAAAATACAAAAATTAGCCAGGCATGGTGGTAGACAACTGTAATTCCAGCTACTCAAGAGGCTGAGGCAGGAGACTCGCTTGAACTGACGAGGTTGAGGTTGCAATGAGTCGAGGTCGTGCTGTTGCACTCCAGCCTGGGTGACAGGGCGAGACTCCTTTCAAAAAAAAAAAAAAATACCATCATACAGCTGGGTGCAGTGGCTCATGCCTATAGTCCCAGCTACTCAGGAGGCTGAGATGAGAGGATCGTTTGAGGCCAGGAGTTCAAGCCTGCAGTGCACTATATGATTATGCCACTGCATTCCAGCCTGGGCAACACAGTGAAACCTCGTTCTCTGAAAAAAGAAAAGAAACCATCACCACACCATACCACTCATTTACTGATCTGCCTCCTTTTACTTGCCTGCATCATATTAGCTATTGATTCATGAGCAACTAGCACAAGGCCTTCATCTTAACAGGCACACAAGTTTTTAAAAATGTTTTCAAATGATTTGGTTTTGGTAAACAATTTTTATTTTTGTTTTAAATCCTATCTAGTGTTGTTTGCCACTTATGTTCTACATTTGATTTAAAATGAAACTTTGTTGAATGATATCAAAGTGCAACCACGAATATTCTATCTGCTCTTACATATAGTGTACATGCTTTCACCAATCAATCCATATTTAATTGTCATCCCATCATGCATATACTACACATCAGACGATGTCTGTATCATGAAGACAGGGCCTGTCTTTGAATTGCAGATTGCAGAGTGGCAGACAGGTATGGCGAACAGCCAATCACATTCCTGAGACATAGACTGAGTGATACAAAGGACTGTCCGCAGGATCGAGAATGAAGAAAACTTTCTCAGGGCAGCAAAAGGCAAGGAAGATTTTCTCTTTTTTTCAGAGACAAGGTCTTGCTCTGTTCATATGCACCTTTTATTTTTTGTAGAGACAGGGTTTCACTATGTTATCCAGGCTGGTCTTTAACTCCAAGGCTCAAGTGATCCTCCTGCCTCAGCCTCCCAAAGTGCTGAGATTACAGGCGTGACCCACTGCGCCAGATCAAGGCACAGATGTTTTAAGGAGAAACTGACTTCAGGAAATCGGGCCTGTGATCCCAGCTACTTGAGAGGCTAAGGTGGGAGAGACGCTTGAGACCAGGTGTTTGAGTTCAGCCTGGGCCTTGTCTGTATAAAAAAAGGAAAAGAAAATTCAAACTACTGAGCAATTTGCAAATTTTATACTAACAAGCTACAAACAAACACCACAAAGGCAGCCATAAAAGACGGTCAGGGCCCCAGTGCTGGGGATCCCCATGTGGAGGGGCACTCTCTACCTCGGCTTTCAGCACGTGCATGAGGTTGCCCTTCTCCATGTACTCCATCACCAGGGAGTAGTTCCCTTCCTCTATGATGACGCCTAGGAGCTTCACCACCCGGCTGTGTCTCAGTCTGTTCATCATCTTCGCCTCCTCCAGGAGTGCCTCACTGTGCCTGTGGGCAGGAAAAGTGCTATGCTGAGGTTGGCAGATCCAGCGCCTTAAGAGCCTGGCACACACCTCCAACACATCACCCCCGTGTGCTTGGGTCATGCTTGGGTCTGTACTGATCTCTTCCAGGCACAGGCCAGAAGCATTAGAAGGCAGAGCAGTTTCTCGCTTCTTCACAGTTCTCCTGCCCAGTAACTGGCAATGTATGCTCAAAAAATGTAAGTCAATGACCGAATGAATGAACCAATGAATGAAAAGTACATGAACAGCAGCAAGGTAACCTGAAAAAAAGACCTTGCTGGACAGTGTGATTAAAAAAAAAATCAACCTCTCTCACAATCGCTCTGACACGGAGGGAAAGAAGTGAAACCACACCACTGGTTGCTTTAAAGGGAAGTCTCTCAGAACCTTTCAGGAATGAACCGCCTTTTTAGTTTCATACTTAGGGCTGGTCTTCACTGAAAATTTGAAGCAAATAAATAGGTCTGTCTTCACTCATCCTCCCATTTCCTTTTTGTCCCCTCACCACACTTATCTTTTTGTCCTTCTCTATTTCTTTCTTGTTCGTGTCTCTTCCATTACTTACTAGCTGTGAGCCCTTCACTACCCAGCCTCAGAGTCCTCATCAGTGACAATAACAACCATAAGCACCATTGTCACACTGACATCTTGGCAGGCTCCGTCTCACCCTATCCACCAGTGGTTCCACAGCAGCCAACGTCCCCACCCCATTCAGAGTTTAGCCCACCACCCCTGCTCCCCACTCACTCGGTACATTTGGGCCCCGTGTACACTGTTTTCATGATCACGAGTCCCTGGTTTCTGTGAAAACACAGAGACACCTTCCCGAAGCCTCCGCTGTCCAGTTCTGCCCTCTCCAGGAAGTCACTGGCTTTCATCTTAATGGCATTCAAGGATATGTCTGGTTCCATTCTGAATGCTCAGAATGCCCAAAGCGGTATCTCTTTTTTTCCCTCGTCAGAGCTGTACCCTGTAAATAAAACAGAGAGGCCACCTCAGGGCAAAAAGATCATAATATATATTTGTTTGTTTTGTTTTCCTTTGGAGACAGGGTCTCACTTTGTCACCTAGGCTGAAGTGCAGTGGCGCAATCATAGCTCACTGGAGCTTCGATCTCCTGGGCTCAGGCAATCCTCCTCCCTCAGCCTCCTTGAGTAGCTGGGACCACAGGTCCCAGGGATTTTTTAAAATTATTAACCATGCCCAGCTGATTTTTTAATTATTTGTAGAGATGGGGGTCTCACTATGTTGCTCAGGCTGGTCTCAAACTCTCCCACCTCAGCCTCCCAAACTTCTGAGATCACAGGTGTGAGCCACTGCACCTGGCAGAAAAGATCATTATTTTAAAAACTTTTGTAGCATTCCACCACATGCTTGGTGTGCCTTGGATTGTTGAGAATAGACTTATAGTCTCTAAGATGAGCTATTTTTCATATTTCTAAGAATCACAGGAGACTATAACGTTTATTCCCTCAGCCTTTTCATTTCTGGCAATATGGAGCATTAGAAAACTTTAAGACAACTCCAGCCATACAGGACATACGTATGTTGGAAAACATAATACAAACATCCCTTCAAATGCATACCAGAACTCCGTGAAAAGGAAAATAACTCTAGGGACAGAAAATAAACAGGGTGCCAGAGGCAGGCAGTAGCTCACAGAGGGCAGTGCCAACCTTGCCATCCAGAAGCTGAGGTTTAAAGCCCAGCTGAGGTCAGGGAATGCAAGAAAAGAAGCAGGTTGGAATGAAGACTGCCCCCTTAACACAGCACTGCTCAATGTGCTACCCCTTGATGAAAGGATGAACTAGAAAAAAAGCAGCCCGTAGCAAACAAACGTATTTGTCTTGGACTAGGCCCAAGGTATTAAAAGAAAAAAAGGTCTGTGCAAATTTATAACCTTGGGACTGTCTTCAAATAGATTTAGACTTTGAATTGAGAGGATCGCTTAAACTATGAACTTTTATAAAGGAAGTGGTCACAGGCTGATGCCATCCTGAAGTTATAGGCTAAAGCAAACAACACCCTCAAGCCAGGCCAGATAGAATTCCCACAGATAGAAATTTAACATGAGCTCCCTTTCCAAAATTATAAAACACAAAAGAAAAATTCACCATGAGATCAATCCTGCAGCTACACCAAATAGCAATAGTAAGTGTACTGATGTGTACTTGGAAATACATCAAAAAGTCAGATAGACTGACGGACAGATGAAGGGAAAAGGAGATGGAGAGTTACATGATGAAGCAAATAGTGTAAGATGATACTCATGGTGGATGTAACCTTTGCACTTTGGTGTTTTTCATAATAAAATGTTGGAAGGCAGGGAGTTAAAAAAAGAAAAAAGGACTATCTTAGGAGAGGGGATTCTGGAAACCCCTAGGCTGCCCATGGTCTTGTACGGTGGCCAGCTACAGGTGACTCAAGTAACCAGCCTTCTATACCTCGTCTAAGACTATGAGCCAGCTCTGTCTAGCAGAGGAAGCTCGCACAGACCTTCTTCCTTAGAACATGAAATTACCAAACAAGAGGAAGTGACCTCAGGAAACAAGCACATCAGTGGGACATGGACAGTGGGTGGAGGTGGGGGGCTGCCTAGATGAAGGCCTGAAGACTGAGGGGCGGGGTGAGGAACGCACTGGAGGTAAGAGACAGGAGCCATAGCTCCAAGAGCACGGGAGTTCACTACAAGCGTGAACTCTAGCTCTGTGACTCAGTAGCTCTGTGACTCACCAAGCTGTGGCCTTGGGACACTTACTTATGCCTCAATTTCCTCATCTGCAAAACAATAATGACCACCTCACAGAAGTGGTAAGGATGATGAGAAAAAATATATATGTATATATTTGTATATGTATTATATATATAAAATATATAAATATATTTGTATATATTTGCACGTATATGTATATATACATATATGTGTAATGTAGATATATACATTTGTATATGCATATATATGTACATATGTATATATTTATGAAAACACATTTGTTGCCTCCTTTATGTCTCTGGCTATGGTTGGCCCAGCCACCCACATGTGTTTATCCACGCGAATGGTGTTTCCTTGGGCTATGAGAACGCCAGCATTCTCTGTGATCACTGTCAGCAGAGCCCTACTGACCAATCCTGGTGAGAATGAGGTAGGAGGAGGTGGAGACAGAAGGCATAAAAGATAACATTGATTTTAGGCCTCCTTTTTCATCTCCTGCAGACCACTGGAGCATGCAGAACTATGAAGTCTTCCCCATCCCATAAGGGTCATCTTTCCCACCCTCTTAGGCTACATTCTTCCAACTTCTTGCCTGGCTAGAAGGTCTCAGAGAACTGTCATTTTGTGAAGGAAGCCATCCTAAGTCTTCCCATTAGAACTTTTCATAGTTAAGACAGCACTATAATGGAGAATTATTTCTCACAGAGTTCAAAGAAGGCAGAAAACTTGTCTTGTGCACCATCTCCAGTGCCTAGCAGAACCCAGCATATGCTGGCCCATCATCAAATGAATAACTATTTTAAAAAGAGAACTATTTAATTGTCCAAAAATAAGAAATACTGTGAAATGAATTACAGAACACTCCTAAGATAATTATATAGCCATCCAAAATTGTTTTTAAAGAATAAATCTGTAAAAATTATATTAACATTTGAGTGTGTGTGTGTGTGTGTGTGTGTGTGTGTGTATGTAAATAGACACAGATATAGGTACGGAGAAAAAAAAGACATAAAGACACCAAAATGTTAACAAGGATTGTATCTTGATGGTAGGATGATTTTTACTTTCTTCTTTACACTTTTACTATGTTTTCCAAATTTTCCACAATAAACACGAATTAATGTAAAATTAAAATTATTTTTTTAAATGAAATAATTCCTTTACTCAGTATTTCTTTACTCTGAGGGATCAAATCAGAGATGCTGATAAAGATTATGTGCAGGCTGGGCGCAGTGGCTCACGCCTGTAATCCCAGCACTTTGGGAAGCTGAAGCAGGTGGATCACCTGAGGTCAGGAGTTCGAGACAAGCCTGACCAACAAGGTGAAACCCCATGTCTACTAAAAATACAAAAATTAGCCAGGCGTGATGTCACATGCCTGTGATCCAAGCTACTTGGGAGGCTGAGACAGGAGAATTGCTTGAACCCGAGAGGTGGAGGTTGCCGTGATCCGAGATCGCACCACTGCACAGCCTGGATGATGGAGCAAGACTCTGTCTCAAAAAAATAAAAACAGAAATAAAAAAAAAGATTATGTGCAAAGCTGTTCCTGGTGGCATTACACAGAACAGCAAAAGTAGGTAGCACACTTAGCATGTACAGAGGAGAGAGTCAGTCATGCCCATCAATACTCTGAAACACATCTAGCAGTTTGCAAAAGGGATGCTGTGTAAGAATGTTTAATAACATTTCAAAATGCTCACAGACAGTAAAGACACAGGCAGGAACTACAACATGCCCTGGAAAATGCTCTTTTGGGTAAAAGATTTCTACTTTATGAGGAGTCCTAAAGTAGAAATCTCTCATATCTCCCCTTTGGTCTCAGCCACATCTCCTCAAATTTGTCAAGACCAACTAGGACCTGCAGGGTCTCCTCCATGAGGTGAGATGGGGAAGGCCTCCAGGTGGGTCCACTGGATTTTGGGAACTTAGCTCTTGACCCAAATCGGTTCTCCTTATAGTCTTCGAGTTCGCTAGTCTGATCTTAATCTTATGCATCTTTTCCATGGTTTCCAGTGATTTATTTTGTTTTTACTATCTACCCCTCTTTTTTCCCCATAAAAGATTCAACTTTATAAGTGCTGAATCTCTTAGGAAGGCCTTGTGAGTAGCTGAATGAAGGATATCCAAAAACACTGAATTTAGGTAGCTTATGTGGCCATATTGCATAATCATGTTATTACAAAGCCATGTAATAAGAAAGACATGCTGGCCTGTTACATCAACAAATGTTAACTAATAATTATGTCCATTTGAATGGAATTTGTAAATGTTCTACATCAATAAATATTAATTCAGGGACTTAGGAGAGTGAATTTTTTTCTATTGAAATTAATGTGAAATCCCAAGAAATTTCACCGATTATCTGTTCAGGCAGGGTAAGTCTACATATCAAAATATTCTAATTAACTTTTTCCCCATTTTTCTATGATGCCCTCTCATAACGAGTATGGCACAAAATGCTGGTTGCCCACCTGCCATTGCCCCCTTTCTTCCCACTAATAGAACTCTGATTTTGCTCAGTTATCCAAGCGACCAGAGGATTTCTCCACCTTCCTTGATTACAGCAGCCTGATGACTTGCCCAGATAAACAAAAGCTCTGAGCAAGAAAGACTAAGGACCAGCAAGAAAGGGCCAGCAAAAGACAAGAACTGAAAAACAGTTTAAAAATGTATCATCATGCATTAGCCCTGAAGCAAACTGTATCATGATTTCAATTTACAAATAAAGAAACTAAGATTTGGAGCTAAATGATTCATCTAAAGTGGCAAATCCTGGAATGAAATCTTTGTCCCTTCACTCAAACTTTCACTACTGGCTCACTAATACATGCTACTTCTCTAGATATCAAATAATTTGTCTTTGGAAAAATCCTACTTGCAAAGACCTACTCTTACAGCCTTACTCATCTATATTAAATGAATATGTTACAAGTCAGAAACATGGGGAAAGTACAGAATAAACTTTTAAAATACAAGAAGGCGCGGTGCAGGGGCTCACACCTGTAATCCTAGCACTTTGGGAGGCTGAGGTGGGCAAACTGCTTGAGGCCAAGAGTTTGAGACCAGACTGGCCAACATGGTGAAACCCTGTCTCTACTAAAAATGCAAAAATTAGCCAGGCGTAGTAGTGCATGCCTAAAATTCCTGCTTCTTGGGAAGCTGAGGCAGAAGAACTGCTTGAACCCAGGAGGCGGAGGTTACATTGAGGTGAGACTGTGCCACTGCACTCCAGCCTGGGTGACAGAGCAAGACTCTGTCTCAAAAAATAAAAATACAGGAAACAGATGGTTCAGAATCAATGTTCTACAGGTTAATACAGTCAACCATTTTTGCTAGAGTGTAATATCCAACTAAAGCATGGGAAGTTAAATATTTTCTTCAAATTCCCAGATCATATAGGTGTTAACACATTATAGATTAATAAGCACCAAAAAGTAGGCTGCCCAGTTTGGAAGAGGTTAATTAAGAACTTTTCTTAATACTCATTAATATTCACAATCCTGAAAGTACAACATATCTCTGGGGCTCAGAATAGTGCAGATACAGGAAAATGAGTATTAAAGTTACCATTTTTGCTACTTTACAGTAATAATGATACACTCCAAATTTCATTTTAAACAAGCCTAGCCTTCTCTTCACTTTTTATGAATAGAAGAGCTGCAATATTCCACCTTTTTTTTTTTCTTTTTTTCTTTTTGACAGAGTCTCACTCTGTTACCCAGGCTGGAGTGTAGTGGCATGATATCAGCTCACTGCAGCTTCCACCTCCGGGGTTCTGGCAGTTCTCCTGCCTCAGCCTCCGAAGTAGCTGGGATTACAGGAACCTGACACCATATCTGGCTAATTTTTTTTTTTTTTTTTTTAGTAGAGACGGGGTTTTGCCATGTTGGCCAGGTTAGTCTTGAACTCCTGACCTGAGGTGATCCTCCTGCCTCGGCATCCCGAAGTACTGGGATTACAGGCGTGAGCCACCCTGCCCGTCCCAGTATTCCACATTACTAATCACAATTTCCTCTTTACTGAATACATCTTCCTGGCAGTAATGGAATGTCACTGCACATTTCAAAGTTCACCTCCTGCCTTGGCTTCTTCAAGTGTAAATCAGGGAAGAATTAATGATTGGAAAAGCCTCCTGCTTTGCCCCAGATAAGAAAGAGCTCTAATTAAGGAAGAGCCAAATGGTAAGCAAGAGAGAAATAAGTGAACAACCCCAGGCCTCCCCCCATCGAAACCCTGCATCCCTGTGAGGCTCTGTCAAATGCTTAGGGAAGGAGGATGCAGCCTATCCTCTTCACAACCCTGAAGAGGGTCTGTAGCACTTCACAAAAGCACATGCCAGTGACCATCAAAGAACCCTGCTAGGGTTAGCACATTCATCCTCAGTCGTCTCAGATCACGCAGAAGTGCTTTTGTTTTTGGAACCTGCTGCAGCCTCCAGTGCAACAGTAAAGGGCGCTTTCAAAGGGTTGGTAAGGGAAGGGCCCACATTTTTTTTTCTTAACGATTCGGCAGTAAGAGCCCACCCTCTCCACCAAAACAACAACGATGTTATCGGCTTGAGAGACGGCCTATTCCACCGTCCCGTCGTAATCGCGGCTGAGTGCAGGTGTCCGCCGCCCCCAGTCCAGCGCCCAGACCCCTGGAGCGAAAGCCGCCAGTGGACTCCAGATGGGGAAGGACAGCGGGCGGCCCCGTGACTTTTGGGAGCGCCCGCAGCCCCGCCCACCGCCCGACTTCCGGCACTAGCGGGGATCCGCCCACCGCGCCCGAGCCGGGCAGTTCCGCTCCTTCCAGGAAGCCCGCGGCCGCCCCGAGCCTCTGCGCTGAGACCCGAGAGTTACTTTCATTTTCGCGGCTAACCGTCTAGGGGCCTGGGTGAGGGAAGAAGCGGCGGCGGGAGAGTTCGAGATTACTCCGTCGCCGCGGCAGCCAAGCCGGGGCGTGCGGGAGAGGGCGCCTGAGCCCGGACTAGGGGGTCACAGGGACTGAGCGCGGCGGCCTAGGGAGTGACCCCCCCCCCGCGGCGTCAGCCCGCTTACCGCGCCAGTCTCCGTGGCCGCGCCGTCCAACCGAGTCCCGCTGCGCTTCCCCGGCCCCGCCTGGCCGGCAGCGCTCCGGAGCCCTAGCTGTGGGCCCGCGGACCTTGCGGCGCTCCGGCAGCTGGTTCGCTGTCCGCCGTCCGCGTTGAGCGCGCCTGGCAGGAGGGCGTGGACTGCTCGCGCTGCCTCCTCCCACTGCCCTGGCCCCTGTCCGGGAGGAGGACTGCGAGAGCGCCGCCCCGCCACTTGCGGGGCCTCGCGCCCAGGGTCTGAATCCCGGAGCTCTCTTGCCGGCTAGAGGATCGCGGACTTTGTTTTCAAGCGAGTTGGGCGGCCTAAAATAAGAGGAAACCGAAACCTGCGCCCTCGAGAGGCAGCTGGGCCTGGCGGAAAGCACTGGGTGGATTACAGCGGGGGCGCTATCCGGAGGATTCGGAGCTCTGCGCGTTAGCAGCGCTAAGACCATAGGCAAGTTAGCATTTCTCTCCCTTCTGTAAAGTGAGGCTGTCGAGGAGGAAATGTGATGATTATTTTGCAGCCTTTAAAATGGTAATTGTGAAGTCTAGAGCAAAATTGGAACTGCATGCTATTCATGTTATATTAAAAAGCAAATAATAAAATTATATACACAACAGGCCGGGCGCGGTGGCTCACGCCTGTAATCCCAGTACTTTAAAAAGCTGAGGTGGGCGGATCACTTGAAGTCAGGAGTTCGAGACCAGCCTGGCCAACATGGTGAAACCCCGTCTCTACTAAAAAATACAAAAATCAGCTGGGCGTGGTGGCAGGCATCAGTAATCCCAGCTACAGGGGAGGCTGAGGCAGGAGAATCGCTTGAACCTGGGAGCAGGAGGCTGCAGTAAGCCAAGATTGCACCAGGGCACTCCAGCCTGGGTGATAAGAGAGAGACTCCGTCCCAAAAGCAANAAAAAAAAAAAAAAAAAAAAAAAAAGCGCAACAGGATTATATGCTGTAAAAACAAAAAATGTATGTCAAGAGGATGAGAACACAAGCCACAGACTGGGAGAAAATATTTACAAAAGACATACCTGATAAAGGACTATGACCCAAAATATACCCCCCCCCAAAAAAAACCCTCTTAAAATGCAACAATATGGAAATGTGCAACCTGATTAAAAGTGGGGAAAAGCTCTGAACAGATACCTCACCACATATATATGCATATGAAAAGATGCTCAACATCATAGGTCATTAAAGAATTACAATGTTTTGAAAAAACTGAAATACTGATATACATTTATTAGAATGGCTAAAATCCAGAACACAACACCAAATGTCGATAAGGACCTGGAGCAAAAGGAAAGAATGAGAGTTCCTTTCTTAACCAAGCTCTTTTTACTGTAAGATTAAGCAACTCCACACCTTGGTATTTACCCAAACCAGTTGAAAGCTTATGCCCAAGCACCTGTGCAAGATTGTCTATAGCAGCTTCATTCATAATTGCAAACACTTGAAGTAACCTACGATGTCATTTAATGGGTGGACAGATAAGCTGTGGTACATCTATACAGTGAAATATTAAGTGCTAAAAAGAAATGAGCTATGAAGCCACAAAAAAATCCTGGAGCAATCTTAAATGTATAAATCTAAGTGAAAGAAGCCAATCTGAGAAGACTACATGATGTATGATTCCAACAATGTGACATTCTGGAAAAGGAAAAACTATGGAGATGGTAAAAACAAAAGAGGAGTGGTTGCCAGGGATGCGCAGGGAAGGAGGGATGGATAGGTGAAGCACAAGGGATTTTTAGGGCAGTGCAGTCTGATAATTACAGACTGCATCTCAATTATACATTTGTTAAATGTATCTTGACTGTACAACACAAAGAGCAAAACCTAACAAACTGTGGACTTTGGCTTATAATGTATCTTATGTTTTATCCATATTGGTTCATCTATATAACCATGTATGTATGTTGGTTCATCAGTTCTAACAGATATTCCACGCTAATTCAGGATGTTGGTGGTAGGGGAGGCTGTGTGGCCCAGGATGTTTGTGGGAGGGGATATTTTCTTTCAGCCTAGTTTTGCTGTAAACTAAAACAGATCTAAAACATAAGGTCTATTCATTATTTTTTAAAAGATATATGCATATCAAAAAAGACAAAAGGCAGAGCTATTCATTCAGCAAAGCTTTCTATCTACTGTATCTACTATTCAAGCAGGTACTAGATACAAGAGTATCTGGTGATAGATACAAGAGATTCAAAAAGGAATTCATTCTTTCAATAAATATTTACTGAGCACCTGTTCTAGGCACTGAACACAGTTGTGAATTAAAAATTTAAAAAAAATCTGGGCCGGGCGCGGTGGTTCAAGCCTGTAATCCCAGCACTTTGGGAGGCCGAGGCGGGCGGATCACGAGGTCAAGAGATCGAGACCATCCTGGCCAACATGGTGAAACTCCATCTCTACTAAAAATACAAAAACTAGCTGGGCGCAGTGGCGTGCACCTGTAGTCTCAGCTACTCAGGAGGCTGAGGCAGGAGAATTGCTTGAACCCAGGAGGCAGAGGTTGCAATGAGCCAAGATTGTGCCACTGCACTCCAGCCTAGCACCTGGCAACAGAGTGAGACTCTGTCTCAAAAAAAAAAAAAAAAAAAACCTGTGTTCCAGGGGGTAGTGGGTGGCTCATGCCTGTAATCCCAGCACTTTGGGAGGCCCAGGTAGGCAGATCACCTGAGTTCAGGGATTGGAGACCAGCCTGGGCAACATGGTGAAACCCTGTCTCTACTAAAATACAAAAAATGCGCCAGGTGTGGTGGCATGCGCCTGTAGTCCCAGGTACTCTGGAGGCTGAGGCAAGAGAATCGCTTGAACCCAGGAGGCATAGGTTGCAGTGAGCTGAGATCGACCCACTGCACAAAAAACAAAAACAAAAAAAACTCAGCTGGCCACACCTGTAATTCCAGCATTTTGGGAGGCCAAGGCGGGCGGATCACGAGGTCAAGAGATTGAGACCATCCTGGCCAACATGGTGAAACCCTGTCTCTACTGAAAATACAAAAATTAGCTGGGCATGGTAGCATGACACCTGCAGTCCCAGCTACTCCAGAGGCTGAGGCAGGAGAATTGCTTGAGCCTAGGGAAGCAGAGGTTGCAGTGAGCCAAGATCGTTGCCACCCCACTCCAGCCTGTGACAGAGCATGACTCTGGAAAAGAAAAAAGAAAAAAAAAAACAAAAAAAACAACACTCTGTTCCATTTGTGGAGCTTGCATTCTAAGAGGGAAGACAAAACATTAATGCCCATCACTGTCCTCTGGACATCATGTGACCTTGGGACATTGGAAATGCTTTGTTTTTGCTTCATTTTGTTTTCAGTGTTCTAACTCAGAAACATCTATTTGGAGCTTTCCTCATTACTCCCAGCAAAAGCCATGAGAGTAGATTGTGCATGGGAGGAAGAAACTGATCCCTGCAGAATGCTAGAATGGAAAGGCAAGAAAGAGCCCAAGATGAGGAAGTAAAACCAGCAAGAACAAGTAGCTGGCACTACCTCTGAAGCCAGTGGAGGCAAAGTGTGAATATGAGTGGTTGGGTATCTTGGCCACAGATCCGAAACCAAAGGGATGCCCACCCCCAGGCCGCAGTTCCCAATGCCCTTGGAAATGAGCCTCAACCATCCAAGTGAGGCTGGGAGACCTCCCTGACTCCTTCCCATCTCTCTTCTCTCCCACACTTATCCCCAAGGCCTGCCCTCTGCACCCACATTTCTCTCCACTTCAGATCCTGTGCCTGGCCTAGTGCCCAGGCTTCCTCCTGAGCCTCTGGGCTCCCTAGAACCGCTCCCAGGACACCTCACCTGGACTTCCCAAAACGCCAGCCAAACCACTGGAGAGCTTTGGGCAATGAACACAACCCGCTGCCCGCAGCCACCCTCAGCCACAGCCACACAGCATCCTGAGAGGAAAGCGGTGTCACCATCCTCTCGTCCTTCCTCCTAAATCTCCCGGGGCCCTTAGGGTCCGCTCAAAGCCGCCTTGTTGAAATGGTTTCTTCTCCACCTGCCCTTCCCCTGATCCAGCCTCACTCAGGTCACAGCCTCCATCTCTGGCCATCCTGAATCCCTCCCAAAGTCACCTCTTGGTAAACACTGTTGCTCCCCCTTCGGAGGCGCCATGCCCATCACGGATTAATTCCACTCACCCTCAAACACTGTGGCTAGGAGGCTCCCTACACCCCGCCGGCGCGACCCTCCCTAGCACAACCCTTCTGAAGGTGATTCCTCATCTACTTGCCGGCGGTCCCTGCAGACCGCTGGCTCTGCAGGCGAGAGGCTGCGCCTGACTGCCCGGATTCTCAGGCCCTGGAGGGGTGCTCGGGGGAAGGAAAGGCCCCATCCGTTTCGCTGAAATATGGATAAGAGTGCTCGGATTTGGAACTGGAGAATGGTGACTATAAAAGATAAGAAGCAGGACAGACGTTGTCATACTGCGGACCCCAGAGCAGAGAAGAGCAGTGGGAAAATAGGGCCGGCAGGTGGGGAGGGGGCTGCGGGGGACGGCTTCGGCCCTGGAAGGGCAGCCAGGAGGCGTCGGGGTGGGCGGCGTCTGCGCGGGCTGCGGGCCGCAGAGGCAGAGACCGGCTGCGCGCTGCAAGGGAACTCCCAGAGACCGTTGCTGGCCCCACTAAGACTGCAGTGCCTCCCCGGGGCTCTTGGCTGAACGACCTCTCCCGTCCTCGAGTCCCACCTCTCGGTGGCAGCCGGGGGACCTGAAGCTCGCCACTCCTGTCCCCCAGCCCGGCCCTGCGCGGGGACGCCCTCACCTGCACCTCTTCCAACGCTGCCGCCGTCTCTGTGCCGCGCTCCGAACCTGGACGCCGATTCCTGAGGCGCAGGACCGGGTCCTACTACTGCGCTCGCTGCCGACTCTCACTCCGGACTTTGCCGGCACGCCTTTTATACTCGGACGATAGCAGAGGAGCAGATCACTCGTCATTCGTCATATTTGGTCTCCCGGAACCAGCGGGGGCGGCGCGCGAGGTGGCCCGGAGCAGGGCTAGGGGCAGGGCTAGGGGCAGGGCCAGGGTTCCCCAACTTGCCCCGCCCAGGGTGATGTCCGCGACTGCCTCCGCCAGTCAGAGGCCAGCCAGGTGCCCAAGGCGCGCGCCC